GATTATATATCCCATATATGAAATGGAAAATAAACCAAATGTTTGAAACCACCAACCAGTAAAAAAAAAATGGCAAGCAATTGCACTTTGCGAGCCATATGTTTTAGCTGGTTACCTCTGGTGAACATAGTAACACCTGAGGCCATCAGGGCCTAAAGCACGGGTCCTGTTAGATGCTGGTTCTGTCCCCAAAAAACATATCAAAAAACACCATGTCTTCATTCTATTCCCTTACATCCCTATTATGGTAATCTATGTAATTATATATATATATAACTTTATATATATAAGCCTAAAATGGCTCGGAGCAACCCTGTCTATCCTGAGCAAGTTCCAACTTTTTTTCCGCACGAAACTCGACACGGCCTGGCTGCGGGACAGTCTGAGCTGGGCTTCTTATCGATCATTTGGGTAAACTGGATGAATCGATTCTATCCTCATGCCGTCTGCTGATTTCACATAACTATTGAACATGGACCATTTATAGATGATTTGAATTTACTTATACATGGTGATTTTCCATAGCTATGTTAAATTACCAGAGGGCTAATTCCCTCAGTTCTATCTTGCTTTCGAACCCGGTCCAATTATCCATATATTCTTCATACATCCTTTTTCAAGAGCCTAGTTCCATCCAGCAACTTTGCAACCTATGAGGCATCACGGCATCACCTTCTAATGCGTCCGAATCTTTCAGCGGTAAATGCACATCTCGTCCATCCCCCAAAAAAGGGACCATCAACGGTGCTCATCCCGATGTACCATGACTTTTCTTTTACCCCAAGTGTGATATGATTCCTTCAGAATTTCTGACTAGATAACTCACATAACTCAGGAAATTGTCCCCATTTTGGACGGTTATACCATGTTAATTCCCCATGTCAAAAACCTCCGAAGTTACCTCCGCTGATCCCTCCAGGAATCCATCACCTCCAACAAGCTTGCAGCACTTGGCCTGCCACTTGGCTGCTGTTGATCCAGGCGCTCTTCAACACTTAGGTCGGATAGGTAAAGGATAGGTAAAGGATAGGTAAAGGATAGGTAAAGGATAGGTAAAGGATAGGTAAAGGATAGGTAAAGGATAGGTATATCATGTGCTAAACATGAAACCTCTCGGCGAACTGTTGGAGTGCGGATAACCCCAAATGGTCGGCAAGCAGCCACCAAAGATGTGGAATGTTGGAACTACATCATTTGAAGCATCATTTCCACAATGTGAATGTAACCAGCCTGAAATGGCGATTGAACTAACTGTCTGAGTATATATTATCTACGAATGCACCAAGCTAGAAGATTTGGCGCTTTGGCGTGGTTACACATGCCGGAAGATTTGGCAGGTCACATGATTATGATTTATCCGACCTTCAGGTATGCGCCACATTTCCACACCAAGGGAGCCATAGTTATGCCATAGTTTTTGGCGATGTTTTAAGACGAGCATGTATTGACCATCCAATTTTGGGCACGGCAAACAACAAAACAATTTTACCCCAGATAGTAGGATCCTCTGCCAAGCATGTCAATAGATGGGACTTCTCTGAACATGACCAGCCAAGACGTGCAGTCTATCATAGGGAATTTTGGGATGATTCTTAGATAAACAACCAACCAGGTATCTTGGATAAGACTTGATTATTTTGGGACTAAAAGAAAATTATATTTAAACAAACTACTACGGTACCAAGATTCTTGGCACTGGTCGACTTGCCACTCTCTCATTCCGAGGATGTTGGGGGAAGGGATGACCGCACTGCTGTCCTTTTTGGCCGTACCGCCGTAGCGGTGTTCGACACCATGAAACAGACCGATCGGGAGACCGTCAGGCCGTCCTCATGACTTACATATACCGTATATACCAAACAAAAAAAAGGTAGGCAGATGTATAGGCACTATGAGTTGCGTGCGAACTTGAGATGTTTTCCGATTGTAGGGATCTTTGCCATCCCCAGACAATAACTTGATGATAGGGAGAGTCACCTTCCCAATCCGATCTCACAAAGCCAACCATTTGATACATGATGAAATGGTGCATTCAACCCCTAAATTGAACATCGAAATCACCAGTTGGCGGCCAAGGCCCTCTGGGTCTGCGAATCTCCTCTGGGTCCAGAACACTTTAAGTGTTTTGGTTCCACGAGGTTTCCACGTTTCAACGGACGTTGAAAGTTGCGATTCTTGGCGCTGGGAGATCAATTTTGACCCTCCAAAAAAACAATTTCAGCGGGTGAGGCACATAAAGCGCGCTCTTAGAGTCATGGTTCTAGTCGTGGTGTTTGTGTGCAGAAGGAGCAAACTTTGGCTGGTTGGTGGTTTTTCGCCCTACCCCTCTGAAAAATGATGGAGTGAGTAACAGTTGGGATGATTTTCCATTCCCAACTGTTTCTGGAAAGTCATAATCCATTCCATGGTTCCAGTCACCACCAACCAGATATTGATTTAACTATGGTTTATGGTAGATATAACTGTACTTACTGGGGTTTACAATGGTTTATAAAACATGTTCCAGTCACCACCGGGCCCAGTTGGGGTCTCTGAATGATGAAACCATCTATTTCTATGGGCCATCTATACCATGGCTATGTTAAATAACCAGAGGGTAATCTGCTCATAACCTGGAAATGGAGTAGAAACATTCAAGAGAACATACTAAAAGAAAGAAATGTTAGTTTAATAGTTACTAAACTAATAACAAAAGATAACAAAAGCAAATCATATATGTATTCATCTGTTAATTCAGGATTGTGTATTTCCAGCTTAGATGCCTGCTTACAAGTAAGCAAAGGTGGGTTGCACATATACTAACTAGGCTGGTTCGGGACGTCCGATTCCCCCAAATCACTTTCTACAACTGGATGTCCTACTCTCGGAACTGTGTTACTTGAAATGGTCATGTTTTTGGAGTGATGTACAAATGAACCAGCCATAACCAGCCCGAAACAATCCGGAACAGGATTCCAATCCGATCGTCATGGCTCTGAAAAAACAGATCGAGTTGAACATTTGGAGCGAATCAGGGTCATCAGAACTCGGAAAAGACATGAAAAACTCTGTCTGGTTGGTGGTTTTTCGCCCTACTCCTCTGAAAAATGATGGAGTTTTTTTCCAGTCGGGATGATTTTCCATTCCCAAGTGTTTCTGGAAAGTCATAATCCATTCCATGGTTCCAGTGACCACCAACCAGCTCTCTGAGACGTCTTGACCATGTCACCGGGGATGGGATGGAGATCTGAACCAATAACCTCTGGTCAATGCGTCGGCACCCAAGAATGGTGCAAGACCTACCAGTTGTAAGCATTCGGCATTCGCCACAAAAATCAGCCTGAACAAAAACATAAAAAAGGTCACATTATAGCCTGAAAGATTGATATATGCGATCCCTTTTGGGGTCCATTTTTTTTAATCATACTCATTTTATCATTCACCACCATCCACCACAATAGAGCTTTCACCCACCAACATCGCAAAAACCAAGGTTTGCAGTCCCAAGCAGCAAATGTCTCAAACCTATCGGTCCACGAGTTTTCCCTTCGAAATGTTCTTGTCCCAAACATATGGTTCTGGAAAAAAATGGAACCAAGACACTTCCAAAAAGACACGTTTCCTGCTCCAATCATCTGGTGTCATTATATCCATGTATGGTACACATACTATTGAAAATATAGAATTATAGAATTGGGATATCATATCTTATAAATAATGGATAGCACACATAAGTTTATAACATAGATTAATCGCATGTACATGGTGATACAATGGAATATATAGTTTGATACTCTTGAACAACTGCAGCTGTCCCTTGCAAACCTTGACAAACACTGCGCGATTGAACGATCCTGGAAATGATAAAATCATATAAAATCTATGACTGACTACAAACTGGATGACGTGTTACTAAGTGTTACCCCTCTTAAGCTTGCCATGTCTATCACGGTTTTTCCTGGTTATGGCCCAGCTTGCTTGTTGGTCCTGTGGTAATGTCAGTAACAAAATAGTTGGTTACAAACCAGCTGTTTACCGTGTACCCTCTGGTAAACATACAAAAAACTATGTAAAATCACCATTTTCAATGGGAAATTTCCATATAAATGGCCGTTTTCAATAGCTATTTTGACACAACCAGAGGGTATGTGCTTTGCTACTGTTCTGCTAATTTTAAATGAACTGTCTTATTTGTCAACATCCAGTTTGGTCCGAAGGCCTGCCCCAAAATCCACTATCTCAGTGTTCTGGACAACATATACATGTCATATTGTTGGTTGAGTAAGTGTACGTGTGTACGTATAATAATAATAGTTAATATTAATAACAATAATAGTAATAATGATATGTCATAATATGTGTTGTTTTTACATACGATGTATAATATATATGTATAAATGAGACATATATATATATAACTATATATATACATATTCATAGTTCCTATCATATCCCCATCACATCCCTATAATTCCGCTTGGTCTTCTAGCCCCAATCAAACCCACATTAAGTAGTTATTTGGCTATACAATATATATCCCAAAAATAAAAAATGTTGAGATCTTCTACAGAGATCCATATCATCCAACCATACCCATCCATAAAATCTGATTATCTATCCATAGTCCAAATTAGTCCATAGATACATCAGAAACACCCGTATATATATCCCATATAGTACCCATATCCCATAATATATATCCCATAAACATCTCATAGAAAATAGTACTATAGATATACCCATAATATATATCCCATAAACATCTCATATCCTATAGTACCCTCCTGTAAACTGACATAATTGTAGAAACCACCCACCATTTGTCGATCATTGAAATCCAAGCATTTTTCGAATGGTTTTCATCTTTTTCTATATTACCCTATAGGGTAAATCCCAGCTTTCGTCTCACTAAAACAAGGTGGTGCCCCCCAGTTATAAATTGCTTAATAATCCCCATTAACAACATCGATATATCACCAACTTAACCATAGTGAAATTGGAGTTATAAAACCATCAACTTAGCTATCGACTGGGGGCCCCACCTTGTACGACCTACACCAATCTTTCCAGGACCGTCTTTCCTAGGACGCTGATGCCTCGCTATTTTGTTTGCTTCGAACCATGCTGGAGAGTGCCCAACTATCCTGGTCGGATGAGGTTTTGCACGGACAGTGCAAACGAATGAGATGTTGATTCATTGGTGAAACAAAATATTAATACCCTCTGGTTATGTCAAAATAGCTATCGAAAATGACCCAGTCGAAATAGTTGATTTACCCATCATTTTTTTGTCATTTTCAATAACTATGTAAACGTTTACCACAGGCTAGTTATGTTGAAAACTCTGGATGTTTTGAAAAACTCGAGATGCTAATTCTGGATATTTCTGGATCTTTTGAAAAATCTGTGGATATATCCAACAAATTTCTGGAAAATCCACAGATATCCCAAGAAAAAACCTCTGTTTTTTCAAACAACGCCAAAGAAAAAGATCTGTGGATTTTCCTGTGGATTCTGAGGGATTGATCAGGCTTGGTGGTGCACTAAGCTGCTGAAAAATGATGGACTTCGTCAATGGGCATGGGATGATTATTCCCCATATATATGGAAGGTCAGTTGGAAACATATGGTTATTCCCAACTGAATGGAAAATAATTCATTCATGTTCCAAAGCACGAACAAAAACAGTGCTTCATCATACTTCTCCCCATTGACACATGGCCCCCATGGCCTTTGAACATCATTTTTTGGGGGGCTATCCCACATTTTTAGAAGGTCTACGATGCCAAAATTCGATCATTCCCTCATGCTTACACCGCTTGCAGAACGTCCTGTGGGTCCGGTTTGAAGCCCTGGAAGATGGTGGTTTTGTAGCGCTTCTTCTTCAAATCTCCTGCAGGAGATCCTCCGGTCCCACCAAAAAAAACAGTTTAGCACCATTTGGAAGGGATTCAAATCGACATGGGATTTTTAAGAATATTTCTGATGGGATTTTTGAATGGCTCTCTAGACACTTTGCCAGAATCATGTTTTGGGAGCTGGTGAGCAATGATCATGATGTATGTATGTATGACTGTATGTATATATGTCTGTATGTCTGTCTCTGTATCTCTGTATCTCTGTATCTCTGTATCTCTGTATCTCTGTATCTCTGTATTTCTGTATCTCTGTATCTATCTCTATCTATCTATCTATCTACCTATCTATCTATCTATCTATCGATTGATCGATCTATCGATTGATCGATCTATCGGTTGATCGATCTATCGATTGATCGATCTATCGATTGATCGATCTATCTATCTATATCTATCTATCTATATCTATCTATCTATATCTATCTATCTATATCTATCTATCTATATCTATCTATCTATATCTATCTATCTATTTATCTATCTATCGATTGATCGATCTATCGATTGATCGATCTATCGATTGATCCATCTATCTATCTATCTATCTATCTATCTATCTAACTATCGATTGATCTATCTTTCTATCTTTCTATCTATCGATCTAACTATCGATTGATCTATCTTTCTATCTTTCTATCTTTCTATCTATCTATCTAACTATCGATTGATCTATATTTCTATATTTCTATCTATCTATCCATTTAACTATCGATTGATCTATCTTTCTATCTTCCTTTCTTTCTATCTATCTATCTAACTATCAATTGATCTATCTTTCTATATTTCTATCTTTCTATCTATCTATCTATCTAACTATCGATTGATCTATCTTTCTATCTTTCTATCTATCTATCTATCTATCTAACTATCGATTGATCTATCTGTCTATCTTTCTATCGTTCTATCTATCTATCTAACTATCGATTGATCTATCTTTCTATCTATCTATCTAACTATCGATTGGTCTATCTTTCTATCTTTCTATCTATCTATCTAACTATCGATTGATCTATCTTTCTATCTTTCTATCTATCTATCTAACTATCGATTGATCTATCTTTCTATCTTTCTATCTTTCTATCTAACTATCGATTGATCTATCTTTCTATCTTTCTATCTTTCTATCTATCTATCTAACTATCGATTGATCTATCTTTCTATCTTTCTATCTAACTATCGATTGATCTATCTTTCTATCTTTCTATCTTTCTATCTATCTATCTAACTATCGATTGATCTATCTGTCTATCTTTCTATCTTTCTATCTATCTATCTAACTATCGATTGATCTATCTTTCTATCTTTCTATCTTTCTATCTATCTATCTATCTGGTGAAATTAAAATAGTTCACTGATGTGAAACAGTCCTAACCCCAGTCCTAACCATCAACAGGGCGAGCCGTCGCACATTGGTCGTACCCATCGGCGACGAAGTTGGTTGGGATGCGGTTGGGATGCTATGGATTTTACCATGAAACAAAAAGGACATAGAAAACCATAGAAAACCACAACCAAAAGCGTGGTTGAAGTACTGAAAGTTGAAATTTCTGAAAGTCTTGGACTTGCTGTAGATGTGCTGCATGTGTGTATCTCTATCTATCCCCAAGATACCCTCTGGTAATCTAACATAGCTATACATAGCTATTGAACATGGCCATAGAAATAGTTGATTTAAGTTGATTTACCGATAACAAATGTGGTTTTCCAATGTTTTCCATAGTTTTTTTGTATGTTTAGCAGATGGTATGACACCCGATTCTCGATGATAAGCACAGCTCCTGCAAAAGCGCAGTACTGCTGCGCTCGAACCCTGAGCTCCGCCATGACAGATTCATCCACCAGATCTGTCATTAACCTAGGCCAAGTTCCCACCAATCTCAGTACCAAGTTGGAGTTTTATGACGCCAACTTGGTGCTGATTGTGATGATTCACCAACATATTATATATACATCCCTGTTGGAATTCGGACCAAACCTGGGGGTTCCATTCTATAGGGACTAAAACGCAAACCCAGGACTAAGGGGGGGGATTTTCCCTATAGAATAGAAACCCAAGAAAACCAACAGCCCCCTGCCACTCCTATAAAATGAAAACCCAGCATCATACTGGCCACTGCTTCTAACAGATAATCCACTATAAAATGAAAACCTGAGTCCAAGTGATTAGGAAAAAGACCCCCTATAGAATAGAAAACTGGGTTTGCAATGCCTTAAGTTTGGTTTCACTTTTTGGATCTGGGCTGGCACCATTCCACAAAAGAATCTACTTGGTGACTATTTTATAGAGGGGGGTTGGATTTCCATTTTATAATCACTTGGACCCAGGTTTTCATTCTATAGTGGATTATTTGTTAGAAGCGGTGGGTATGAGGCTGGGTTTTCATTTTATAGGAGTGGCAGGGGAGGTGTCAGTGAGCAATAATATTGTAAATACTGTATGATACTGTAAAATATTGACACATACTGCAAACGAATAAGTAATCAACACTGTTAACGAATCAGTTTTGTGCAGGGCTGCTCCTTTAAAATGGAGATCCAACCACTCTTCTAAAAATGGTTCCCAAGGATTTTTTTGCTTGAAAGGTGCCAGCCCAAACGTGAACCACATGTTGGGCCTTGGAAATAGCGGTTTCTATTCTATAGGGGGCACCTAATCACTTGGACTCAGGTTTTCATTCTATAGTGGATTATTTGTTAGAAGCGGTGGGTATGAGGCTGGGTTTTCATTTTATAGGAGTGGAAGGGGGGTGTCAGTGGGCAATAATACTGTAAAAATATTGATACATATTGTAAACGGATAAGTGGTCAACACTGTTAACAAATCAGTTTTGTGCAGGGCTGCTCCTTTAAACTGGAGATCCAACCACTCTTCTAAAAATGGTTCCCAAGGATTTTTTTGCTTGAAAGGTGCCAGCCCAAACGTGAACCACATGTTGGGCCTTGGAAATAGCGGTTTCTATTCTATAGGGGGCACCTAATCACTTGGACTCAGGTTTTCATTCTATAGTGGATTATTTGTTAGAAGCGGTGGGTATGAGGCTGGGTTTTCATTTTATAGGAGTGGAAGGGGGGTGTCAGTGGGCAATAATACTGTAAAAATATTGATACATATTGTAAACGGATAAGTGGTCAACACTGTTAACGAATCAGTTTTGTGCAGGGCTGCTCCTTTAAACTGGAGATCCAACCACTCTTCTAAAAATGGTTCCCAAGGATTTTTGAAAGGTGCTAGCCCAAACGTGAACCACATTTTCGGCCTTGGAAATAGCGGGTTCTATTCTGTAAGGGGCATGTTTCCTAATCACTGGGACCCAGTTTTTCATTCTATAGTGGATTATTTGTTAGAAGCGGTGGCCAGTATGAGGCTAATCATACTGGCCACTGCTTGTAACAAAATCTAACAAACAATCCACTATAAAATGAAAACCTGAGTCCAAGTGATCAGGAAAAAGACCCCCTATAGAATAGAAAACTGGGTTTGCAATGCCTCAAGTTTGGTGTCACTTTTGGGTATGTAAACTGCATGGGCGCAATCCAGGTACCATTCTATAGTAAACACTGGCCTACCAGCCTCATCTCTATAGAATCGTACCCCCAGGTGATCTATTTTATAGAGATTTTTCCAAGGAGGATATATATACAGATATATTATGTACATTGGTGTTGAATATGTATATTCTTCATTATCATGTGTTTTGTCTATACAATGTGATTAATTATAGTGGTGAATATACACATTAATAATATTATATACAGTATATAGACGTATATACATTGACTGACCCACAAGCAAAGCGTTGTTGAAGATACTTGATGTATGGCACCCAAGAAAAGAAAACACACTAAGCTTAAACAGCTTAAATGTCAAGTGCTGGGACAGCCAGACCAGGTCGGAATCCATAGCTAGCACGAAATGGCCTATCATCATTTTCTTATCAAAACCACCATTTCAAGTGTACAGGCACAGTCCATCTTTTTGATCTATCTTTGCAAGTTTCACCCCATGATTGATAGTGTGGTTGGTGCTTTCACCCCATGGGGGTTTCCATAGTCATACTGCGAAGGTATCCATCCAGCCAGAACGGATGGCCAGGGCACAAATCCTCTTCATCCAAGGCTTCCACATGACCCACCTGATGCTGGTGCAGTTCCACACCAGGGCCTAGCCCCATCTCCCAAACTTCTAGAGGTGAACTAACAAAAATATAGCCTATAGTTATCTTCCCCAAAATGGCACATTGAACAAGGACTTGTTTGATCATTTGATTTATGATTCACCAGTGGAATAATTTCAAGCCCATTTTCACCCAGGGGATTTTCACTGGTGAAACTAATTACCAGGCTTCCTAACCCATGGCCCTATGGGGGGCCAACATTTTTTTTACCATTTTCTACTGGCATTCCATTGCCCGGCCTGCCGTGTTTCATGTGACCGAGGGGTGACCATCCCCAAATTGGTCTCCTGAAAGGAATTTCCACATAGGACATCAAGTGGTACCATCATGACTAAAACATACTAGGTAACACACCAACAAAAAATAATACACCACCATTCATCGTATTTCACCCATGCCCAAAAATAAACTAAATCCTTTCAATGACCAATCTTGAATTACCTATGTTTAATTTGGTTTTCTTGTATTTCCACTGAAAAAATGGCCAACATAAAGCCATTAAACATCATTAAACTACCCTACCAATCACTTCGCCTTCATCGGCTTCCCATCGTTTTTCCCAACCAGGTTACCAAGAGAATGCCAAAGATCTGCAAATGTGCATAGATGGATCCTGGGGGCAGGCGGCGCGAAGTCCTGCGTTGATAGGTGGTAAACATCCATAAACATCCCACTATATTTCTAGGGTTTCAACATGTTTCAACACTCCCAAATTGGTGGTGCAGGATTTCGCTGGCCCATCCACAGTTTCATTGAGAAAACCTCTTGGAGGTGCGGCCTGAGAGTCTCCTATCCCTGACTCCATCTCCTGAAGGTACCCCCGTCTCCTCCGTGTCTTACGTTCACAGGGACCCCATTACGTAGAGATCTACCGACCATCGACCATAAATCCATAAAGATCCATAAAGTGTAAAGCACCTTGTCAAATAACGAAATGGATGATTTGATTGAGTGATATGTGACATCGTGTCTGTTGCAAGAATGGGATATGACTTGGTATCACACAGTTATCTTAAGATGTTGCCTGTGGAGTGATTTCACCTAGTACTTGAACATATAACATAGAATAACCAACCGCTCAGACCAACAATCCAGGAATGGCGTGGAGATCAATTTGTTGTGGCATCACATATCACATTAATCGCATTAATCATCCCTGAATTAGTTTCATGACATCCAAATTCGAGATGGCCAATACTCTGGCAATGGCTGTTCCTAACATTGCCCCTTTAGTTTGATTCGATGATTTGCCCTTCAAAAAATGGTCATGTTCCATTTTTTAGCTGGTTGGTGGTTGAGCCTACCCCGTCTGAAAAATATGAGTTCGTCAGTTGGGATGATGACATTCCCAACTGAATGGAAAGTCATAATCCATTCATGTTCCAAAGCACCAACCAGTTAGCTGCTAGTTCAATTTGCCAAAGAGCAAGCTCCAACAAATGGCAGCTTAAGATTCCCCCTATCTCCGGCTTTCATCCCCCGTTCTGCAGCAGAAACTCCACCATAGTTCAACGAACTGGTGCAGAAGCCCTGGGAAGTCCGTGGAGTCTATACTTGGTGGCTCATCCCACTTAGTAAGTAGGTTATAACCCCAGTTATAAATGGGATAAGTAGGGTTAATCCATTTATAACTGTGGTTATAACCCACTTACTAAGTGGGATGAGCCACCAAGTAGTGAGTTTGGTGAAAAGTCCATGGCCAATCTTACAGATACAATGCAAAGAATGGTGATTGATGGGAATATGGATTAATGGCGATAGCATGTGATAACTATCGCTCATTTAATGGTGATGGGAATTAAACGGGAATTCGAGAATGGGAATATCATGGGAATATAACAGAGATTTCATGGGATTATCGGATTATCGAACATGGATTGCTGGAAAATCTCCATTTATGCAACACATACCATCTGGTTATTTAACATAGCCATGGAAAATCACCATTTTTTAATAGGTAAACCATCTATAAATGGCCCATGTTCCATGGCTATGTTAAATAACCAGAGGGTATGGCAAAAACCATCAGAATAAAACAACCATGACTGGAGGGGGGCATGATATTCCCATCATCCTAATGCCAAGGAAAAAAACTTCGCTCCCCATCTGCAAAGAGATACCCATGGCGACAATTAGCCGAAGCACGGTTGGGACAAAGCTTGGAGATTTCATGATATTTCCATATGCTGCAAAGATTTGGGCCGTGCTACCCTCTGGTAATTTAACATAGCGAACTGGAAAGATCCACCCATTTTTACTAGGTAAGTCAACTATTTCTATGGGCCATTTTCCATAGCTACGTTAAATTACCAGAGGATACCAGAGGTATATTTCCATATGCTGCAAAGATTTGTTAGTGCTACCCTCTGGTAAACTAACATAACTATTGAAAATCACAATTTTTAATGGGTAAATCAACTATTAGCCATTTCCAATAGCAAGCTGTTAGTTTACCATAGGCTAGCTAATATAGTACCAGTCCAAGGTTGTCCCAGCGGATTAAAGCCCTCGGCAGACCTGCAACAGAACATGCGGAATGCTCGTCGATTCCGCGACAACTGGATCCATAGTGGAAATGGGCTTGATGGCTGGTATATCATCCAGCTTGGGCTGGAGCTATTCAAAAAAAACTGGCCTTCTCATTCCGTGGAACCGTTAAAATCAACAATCAATGGGAATTTCAGGAACCTAAAAAAGAGGTACCTACCATATATAAGGCCTATATAAGGCCTATATGCAAGTGAATATCCCCACAAAATATGGCCTGAAATATGGTACTAACGTACCTCTATTTTAGGATCCTGAAGATCTCCCATTGAAAAACGTCCGAAGTTTCTTGCGCCATCCCTCAGTTTGACACAGTTTGACACACCACGGCTTCACCCAAAACAGCGATGTGATCCATCCCATGTTGAAATTGAACAGTTTGCTACTGGAAATGACCCATGAAAATAGTTGATTTATAGTTGATTTACCGAACTTAAAGATAGTGATTATAGTTGATTTACCGAACTTAAAGATGGTGATTTTCCACAGCGAACTGAGAACGTTTACCAGAGGGTATCAACTAAATGGGTTTGTTTGAAAATAGGGTACCCGAAAATCTTCAGTGTCATTTTTCACCATCAAACATGTTTTTGGTTTTCCAAATATGTTATGGCGAAAACTTTGTTTGTTCCCAAAAGCATCTCCGATGCTTGGGTTCTCGTTTAGTTGCACTCGCCGCGGGGGAGCGAGACTGAGTGGTCGACGGAGATGTGTTGGATGGAAGGAAGGAAGGAAGGAAAAGGAAGGAAGGAAAAGGAAGGAAGGAAAAGGAAGGAAGGAAAAAAAGGAAGGAAGGAAAAGGAAGGAAGGAAAAGGAAGGACGGAAAAGGAAGGAAGGAAAAGGAAGG